TTGGCCCGTTTGAGCTTTCTATTGCCTACCAATGATGTCATCCCTAGTCAACCCCTTCGAGCTTAAGCCTTTCTCATTTGGAAACTATGTACAAGCCTTTATCCGTTCTATTGTGACCCTCTCTTGGCACCCTAACTCTCCTTAACACTCAGGTGAAACAATTGGCTGAAAACGTAAGTTTGGGGGAGAGACGAGGAAATTGAAAAAAGGTATCAAGGCACAAATAAGAGAAAAAGAAATGAAAAGAAGGAAAAGCAAAGAAAAGAAAAGAACAAAAAGAAGAATGCAACAAAATGAGTAATTGAAAGAGTTGAAGGGATTCAAAGAAAGGCAATGATCCCAAACATGGAGAAATATGAATGAAATGATCAATAAAGAGTGATGTTAAGTCTCTTTAGTCCCCCAAGGAAAGAAAAGGCCTCAAGGAATCGGTAAAGTGTGAGTCGAGAATTGAATCAATACTCAATCCATATTGAATCAATCCCCAATCCAAAAGCCTTCATTACATCCCGAAAGAAGTCATACTTGATTTTGAACCGAGTGAACTACATTGGTGGTGATTTACATGAGGGGCAAGCTTATGGTACCGGAAGCCGTACTTGTGGCATTCTCTTGAGAGAGATGAGTGAACCTTTCGTAATTTTTTGAATTGAGTACTAAATTCTTAAGTGAGCTTGGCAAATGGAGAGCAGAAGAGGAGGAGTTTAGGATCTACCATGACCTACAAGATAGAGTGAAATTCCTTGATGAGCAAAGTCAACCCTTGATGCTCGAATGTCACATTAGAGCTATATGTGCATAAATGTTTAACTTGTTGCCTTGTCAATAATGTATGAGTGGTGTGGGTAATTGTTGGTCCCAAATGAGGTATGAATGGTTCACCCATGGCTAGGTATAATGTCCTTTAACTTTTGGAGGTGGGAACTAATTTATTTGCTTGAGGACAAGCAAAAAACTTAAGTTTGAGGGAGTTGATAAGTGGGGATTTTGACTACTTATTAGCGCCTTTTAGCTTTTGTTTTAGTCGAAAAGCATTTAATTGTGTTCCCGAAAATTGATGAGATGTGCTTAATTGCAGGAATATTAGAAGATGGACTCCCGAGATGAAATCCAACTCAAAAAGAAGTAATCTGAACTCAAGGCCATAAAAGGCACAGAAGCCCTAAAGTGTGGACCGCATAATATCATTTACGGCCGCAGACTATGAAGGAAAAGCCAGTAGTGTTTGGTGCAAAATGCGGTCCGCACATGAATTGTGCGACAACAAAAGATGGCTAGGACCAAAAGTTTAGAGAATGTGATTCCATGTCCCCCAGAAGTGCGGACCGCACAGGAATTGTGCGGCCGCAGAAGAAGATCTACGCGGCCGTAGGTGTAAAAGCGCGGGCTGCAGAAGATCAAGTGAGGCCGCACATGTAAAAGTGTGGACGCAGAAAGAGTGCCTTGCGGCAGCAGATCAGAATTATACGGCCGCAGACCTGCAGTTCTTGACAAGTTGATAAAGTCTGCGGACCGCACATGGAATTGTGCAGCCGCAGAACCTCTCGAAGGGCATTTTTGTCCGAAATTTCCAGCCTTGTACAAATAGACGAGTTTCACAATTGTAGGTCAACTTTTGACATCAGCAACTACAATAGCCGTTTCTCTTTGCCTATTTTAGTAGTTTTTCATATTTTGAAATATTTTAAAATAGATTTTATCATTTTGATTTTACAATATGAGTTTAATTAGCATCTCTTCTTCTATTTCTTCATTTTCAAGCATGAGTAGCTAGATTTTTACTAGGGTTGTGACGTAACCCTAGTGTGTAAACCATATGGGTGTCTAATTTAATATTTGTTTATGGTTGGGTGTTTATTATTTAGCCTTGTTCATGCTTTAATTTGTTGAATTAGTAGTTGCAATAATTAGTTCATGCCTATTTGACTTAGTCTTTATTTGAGAAAGAGAGACTTAGTCTAGGAAACTTGGCTAACAAGAAACTGGCTCAATCGAGAGATTGATAATCCCAATTAAAGGGTTCAACCTAGAGATAGTACTAACCTGACTTGAGCTTTTATCAACTGTTTTGTACAATACCCATTTGGACTTGAGAAAGCCAAATATGGAAAAATCACTCTCTGACCGAGAGGTATTGAGTGGGTAATTGAGTGTTGATAGCTATAATACACCCCGATCAACAAAACAAGCATTAAGGTTTATATCCCATTATGCAAACACCTAGGTGATGGTAGCCCTAGGCTTTTTACAAAACTTGAAAAACAACAAAAATAATTTCTTTGTTTCATTTCACTTAATTATGCAATCTTAGTTTAAAATAGACATAGAAACAACCCCAATTTGTTAAAGTGTAAATTGAGATAGTTCCTACTCACGTACTACAATATATACTCCTAACTCCCACATATATGTCCTTGTGGAAATCGACCCCGACTCTTGTTGGGTATTACTATTCCAATCGACTGGTTTATATCCTTGATTTGAGGTGTGAATTGGACGAGATCAACCGTGTCCTTAATGACAAACAAATGTGGGTCGTTATATTGACGCTCTCTGATACGATCACATAAAGAAGAGCGAGAAACCACGCAAGCAAGAACCCGACTGGATCTGAAACTTCTAACCTAACAAACTAGTTGGCCAAGGCCTGAACATGCAATGTTAATGGCCTCTCCGCTGCCGATAGATATGCCAAACTACCTATACTCTCTGCCTTTCGACTCAACGCATCGGCCACCATATTGGCCTTCTAGGGATGATATAGAATAGTGATATCATTGTCTTTAAGCAACTCTAACCACCTCGTTGCCGCAAATTAAAATCTTTCTGTTTGAACAGATGCTAGAGACTCCGGTGATTGGTATAGACCTCACATGGGACACCGTATAAATAGTGCCGCCAAAACTTCAAGGCATGAACAATAGCTGCCAATTCCAAGTCGTGTATAAGATAATTCTTCTCGTGAGCCTTCAACTGCCGAGATGCGTAGGCAATCACCCTACCATCTTGCATCAACACTGCACCAAGGCCAACAAGTGACGTATCACAATACACATTGTAAGGTCCTGAACCCGTAGGCAACACCAAAATTGGGGTTGTAGTCAAAGCAGTCTTGAGCTTTTGAAAGCTCGCCTCACACTCCTTGGATCATCTGAAACGAGCACCCTTCTAGGCCAATCTGGTCATAGGTTCAGCAATGGATGAGAAACCCTCTACGAAAAGGCGATTATACCCAGCCAAACCAAGGAAACTCCAGATCTCAGTAGCTGAAGACGGTTGGGCCAACTCTGAACTGCTTTAATCTTCTTCGAATCTACCCTTATCCCCTCACTCGACACCACATAACCCAAAAATGCACCGAATCAAGCCACAATTCACACTTTGAGAATTTTGCATACAACTTCTTTTCTCTCAAAGTCTAGAGCGCAGTCCATAAATGCTGCTTATGATCCTTCCGGCCACGAGAGTACGCCAAGATGTCATGAATAAACACAATGACGAATGAATCAAGGTATGGCTGGAACATACTGTTCATGAGGTGCATAAATGTTGATGGGGCATTGGTCAGCCCAAATGACATCAAAAGGAGCTCGTAGTGACCATACCTAGTCCTAAAGGCAGTCTTCGAGATATCCGGATCCCGAATCTTCAGCTGATGATACCCTGACCGCAAATTAATCTTAAAGAACACTCTGGCACCCTGTAGATGATCAAATAAGTCATCAATGTGCGGAAAAGTGTACCTGTTCTTTACTGTAACCTTGTTCAACTGTCGATAATCAATACACATGCGCATAGAACCATCTTTCTTCTTCACAAATAGAATCGGGGCACCCCAAGGCGACACACTAGGCCAAATGACACCATTATCAAGTAACTCCGGCAACGTCTCCTTCAACTGTACTAGGGCCATACAATATGGTGGAATAGAAATGGGCGGAGTGCCCGGCAACAAGTCAATACCAAAACCGATATCTCTATCGGGCAGCATGCCCAGAAGATTTGCCGGAAATATATCTGGGAAGTCTCTCACTACCGGAACTGATTCAACAGTAGGAGTATCAACACTAACATCTCTCACAAAGTCTAGCTATGCATCACACCCCTTCTCAACCATCCGATGTGCCTTAAGTAAGGACAACCCTGCTAGGAATATAGTCCAATGTACCCCTCAACTTTAACCGCGGCAAACCTAGCATAACTAGTGTCATGGTCTTGGCGTGACAATCCGGAATAGCAATGATAGTCCGACAAGCAGTCAATGCCCAAGATAACATCAAAGTCTACCATACTGAGCAACAATAATCAACTCTGGTCTCAAAACCACCAATAACAACTAAACACGACCGATACACACGGTCCATAACAATAGAATCTCCTACAGGCATGGACACATATACAGGAGAACTCAAAGAATCACGAGATATGTCCAATACAGAGCAAAGTAAGATGACACATATGAATAAGTGGAGTCTGGATCAATTAAGACCGATGCATCTCTATGACAAACCGAAACAATACATGCGATAACTGCGTCGACCGCCTTCGTCCTACCTGAAAAAACATAGAATCTGGCCTGGCCTCCCCCTCTAGGGGGACCCCTACCTGCCTGACCTCCACCCCTAGCTGGTTGTGCAGGTGGAGTAGCAACTGGAGCAGCAACCACGGCTTGAGAAGTCTGTGGACCCGGTGGAATACGTGGAGCCTGTGTAGTCTGTGGAGGTACACCCCTTCCCGAGTCTAGGGCAGTCCCTCACCTAGGGGCTGGGCATAAAATTTGAAAAATCGAATTCTGAACCGGACCGAATTAATACAGTATTTCAGTATCGGTTTATCCGGTATTTCGGTATAATTCGGTATCAATTTTTTGGTTATTCGGTATTTTGGTACGGTCCTCGGTATTGAGGTTTCGATATTTCGGTATACCGAAATACCGAATAGTTAGAATGGATTGTTAAACATTAGTCTTAATTTTTGTAATAAAAGGCAGTAGCTTCTCGTTATGGAATGCGATGTTTGTCCGTGATTTCTAGAATATCAAGGCAAGTTTTGGACAACTCCTCTATTACCTTCCGCCTATATCCGTTAATCAACTTCACATTGTTCTCGTTTCCATTTGACTCTTCTTTCTGCTCAATGGAAGATATAATACGCCAAGAAACCCTTTAAGCTCCAATAACATTCTTGTAACCAACAGAAAGCATTGAATTTTGCAACTTTTTTTGTATTCTCATCCATTTCTGAGAAGCAATATGAATCTGAAGTTACCAAACAGAACAATGGTGCAAAGATTTTTATATCTCATTTCCAGTACATAGTTTTGTCTTGCTTCCTTAGTTTTATCATAGAAAATGATGCCTGCATGTGAATCAGAATAACCTCCCATGGACATGTGCTATTCTAATTTTGTATGCTACGTATGTATTTGAGGTTTTTATTTACCGAATCTGGTATGCAAATTACCACTCCTTCACCGAATCACCCGTGGCCAGTGCCACTCTAGTCACGTTAGATAGGGACGGTGCGATACCGAAACCGTACCAAAAGCATGCCGAATCGAACAAGAAAATACCGATTCGTACCGAACTACTTTGGTACGGTGTTTGATATGCATAATTGATACCGAAGTACCGAACCGTAATTCATAAATACCGTACCGAAGTATCGAACGCCCACCCCTACCCTCACTATATGTCAGGTATCACCACACTCAAAGCAAGCTCTCGGCGGGCGTGGCTGCCGAAACTGGCTCAGGCCTGGTCGACTGGACTGACCATTGAAAGCACCCCGTGTAGGAGGTGCACTAGATAGTGACGGTGCATAATGGGTAACCTAAGACCTGGAAGTAGCCGTAGTACCACTAGAAACTGGAAGTACTGAAAGAACTGGACGGCTCACATAGCCTCTACCATGACGGGTTACAACTGGGGCGGGGGTACCACTATATCTCCAGAATCTCGAGGCCTCTTGGCCTCCCTGTCCTCTCTCTCCCAGCCCTGCATACCCTCCAACCTCTGTGCGATCTCTACCACCTGGTGATATGGGGTATTTGTCTCCAAATCTCGAGCCATCTGAATCTAATATCATAGTTAAGCCCCTCGATGAATCGACAGACTCGCTCTCTCACAGTAGAAACCAAGGCAGGTGCATGTCAGGACAACTCAATGAATCTGACAACATACTCTAACACTTTCACAATACTCTGGCGTAACTGCTCAAACTCCGCGCGACATGCATCCCAAAGGCTCTGGGGAACAAACTCTCTCAAGAACATCTTTGAAACCCGAATCCATGTGAGTGAAGCTGCATCACCTAGGCTACCCTCCTCGTAAGTCCGCCACCACTAATACGCTGCTCCTGACAGCTGGAATATAGTAAAAGCAACCCCGTTCGTCTCCACAATACCCATGATGCAGAGAATACAATGACACTTCTCTAGAAAATCCTATGTATCCTCTGTAGCTAGGCCACTGAAAGTAGGAACATGATACTTCTTGAACCTCTCAAGTCTAAGATACTCCTTCTTAGATGCCACTACCTTAATCTCGGGCTTAACTGGAACAATAGGCTACGCTGGCATAACCTCTAGACCTGATCAACAAGGAATCGCTGCTTTGGAGTACGGGCCGCGGGAGTCTAAGCTCCTCCCTCAGCTTGATATGCGGCCGGTACAAGTGGAGTCAACCCCGCCTTAGCTAGAGTACTGAACATGCTCAGGAATTGCGCGAGGGTCTCCTGAAGTGCAGGGGTGGCAATAGGCACCTCGGGTGCCTGCCCCCCTATTGGAGCTACTGGTGGCTCCTGTTTCACAGCTCGGGTAGGTGCTCTAGCTGCACCACGTGCCCCTCCTCGGCCTCTGCCCTGGCCCCGACCTCTCGCGGCTCTAGCAGAGGGCACAGGTATCTGATCGTCGGATCCAACAGTGCGTGTCCTCACCATTTGTGAGAGAATAGAAAGACAAAGATTCAGAATTTCGAAGTCAACGAATTCGCACAGTAAGGAATCAAAGAAGTGAAGTTTCCTACCAGTTCCATAGCCTCTCGAAGAAAGTACAGATGTCTCAGTATCGATCCGCATGACTTTACTAAACCTGCTTATGACTCGTAACAACTATGAACCTAGGGCTCTGATACCAACTTGTCACGATCCCAATCTCCCACCGTATGATATCGTGATGGCACCTAATCTCTAAGACTAGGTAAGCTTAACATGCATGGAGAAATAACGAAAATAATAATAGAACCTCAAATTTAAACCAACTAGCTATCATAAAGAACTCAACAATACCGCTGACAGTAACTACCAAAATTTGAGGAGATTAAGTCATAAGCTCGACACGAATATTCTGAAACATCCCTAATACATCACTATCTAATAAAGAGTAAGCAGTAGAAAAATAAGGACAGAGGGTGACTCCGAGGCCTGCGAACACTGGGTAGGTATACCTTAAAATAATGGGAACGAGGAAAATGAGGCAATAACGAAATACAACATGGTAAGCTACAAGTGAATTTAAAGAAATAAAGGCAACAAGTAAGGAACACATAATAAGAAGATCAAGAAAACAATGTAGAGAAATACAAGTGAGAAAAATGAGAGATATCAACAAGAATCACAACTGAGGTACTGCCTCGTAATCTCATTTTACTATCACAATCACAATCTTTCCTTATATCACCGCGGGAACCTTACATTTAGTTTAGAAAATTATTTTTTTCGATATAACAATTCACGTTTTAGCCCACTTTATCACAACACGTGGCTTCAAGTAGTTCCCCTACGAGCAACAAGAGTCTCAAGCCCATCTTATATCACCGCATATGTATCAACCCATAGCCTTATACCACCGCATGCGTATCAATATCACAACATATCACAACTCGCGCCTCAAGTGCCCAAATGCCACTACTTGCCAAAAGAATCAACAATATTAATGTTTCCACAGTAAATAGCCCATGGCTCAACCACAATGTGTACAAGAATCTCAACAATAACAAAATAAAAGTGAATAGCTCAACAAGAACGATATCTTAACAATTAACAATTTCGCCTCAAGTGATAACGACTTTTACAACTTCAATCCCAATAGCTAAACAAGAGATATTCCATGAATTAACAACTTCAAGTAAGAAATTCCACAATTAAGGAAGTAACAAGACAATAATGAAGGCAATATTTCAACTAAAGCATATAAGAGCAAAATAACAAGTAATAGGTGGAACAAGTGTTAACAATGTCAAATAAAGCATTTGAGGGTAGATTAATAATGAACGATATAACATGCTATGACGATTCGATTAACGACATGAAAAGAGTTTAAATAGCCTAAACCGGTCAAATACCATATATAGATCGTGTACCCACTCGTCACCTTGCGTACACGGCTTCCACATATCACAAATAATACAAACAATTCCAATCCTAAAGGGTAATTTTCTTACACAAAGTTAGGCAAGTTATTCACCTCAAACAAGCTAACTCAATCCATTAGTAAGCCTTTTCCATGAATATCCAACTCCGGAAGGCTCGACTCTAGCCAAAATAACTTTATATATAAACACACTCATAGGAAACTATTCCAGATAATAAAGTTGTAACTTTAAAAAAAATGTCTAGTGTCTCGTAATCCGGCCAAACTTAGAAAATCCGAACACCCATTCAATAACGATTCCAACCATACTAAACTTTTCCAATTTCGACCTTAAATCGATCTTCAAATCCTCAAATTATAGCTTAGGTAGTTTTCACAAAATTTTCTAATTTTTCCAACTCAAAACACTAATTAAATGATAAAAACACTGATGGATTCATGTAAAATAATCAAATCCGAGTAAAAAAATACTTACCCCGATAGACTCCTTGAAAATTCCTTCCAAAATCACCCAAAACCAAGCTCTCTAACTCAAAAGATAAAAAATGGAACAAAACTCTCAATCTGCCCCTTTTCTGCACAGTCATTCCGCTTCGGTGGACCAACAATTGCTTTGCGGCTCCGTACCTGCGAAAAATCCATCGCAGGTGCGGCTTTTCATTAAGCTAGGAAATATCGCTTATGCGGACACTGGAGCGCATCTGCGCTTGCGCTTCTGCGGAACCAAGCCGCTTCTGCGCATCCGCTTCTGTGGAGAAACGACCGCGCCTGCGGTCATAGCTCGCCCAACCCAAACTCTCTTCTGCAGCTCACAGGAAACTTCTGCGGTGCCGCACCTGCGGCCCAAAGTGCGCAGGTGCGATTGCACCAAAACCTCAGCTAAGCAGAAATTCTTCCAAGTTCAAAAATGATTTCGGACTCAATCCGAATCACATCTGGGGCCCGTTCCAACATACCATCAAGTCCCAAATCACATAACGGACCTACTCGAGTCTTAAAATCACATCAAACAATATCAAATCTACGAATCGCAACCCAATCCAAACCTATTGAATCCATGAACATTTAACTTCCAAAACTAATGCCGATTCATACCAAACCGACTCCGATTGACCTCAAATTTTGTATACAACTCATAAATGGCACAACAGACCTATTCCAACTTCCAAAATTGGAATCTGACCCCGATATCAATAAACTCAACTCTCGGTCAAACTTCTCAACCTTCCAACCCTCAATTTTCTAACTTTCGCCAATTCAAGCCAAAACAACCTACGGACCTTCGAATCAATATCTAGACATACCTTAAGTCCAAAATCACCATACGAAGCTATCAGAACCATCAAAACTTCAATCTAGAGTCGTCTACACAAAAGTCAAACCCCGATCACTCTTTTAACTTAAGCTTCCAACTTTGGGACTAAGTGTCCCAGTTCACTCCGAAACCAAATCAACCACCCCGGCGAGTCGCATAACCACAATATAACATAGAGTAGGGAATAAATAGGGAAACGGGGCTAAAATACTCAAAACGATCGGCCAGATTGTTACATCCTCCCATCTTAAGACAATAAAGTTTCAAAATGTTTTATTGAAGTTTAAATATTTATTAGTTCAAACTCCATGAATTGTTTCTCAAGTTTAAAATGTATAGTTCAAGCTCCAGAATTTTTTTCCCGAAGTTAGATAAATCGTTTTACGTATATCTTCATCTATCTTGCAATCATGACTATATATATATATATTAGCATAGCCAGCATCCTTGATTCTAGTAGCTTTAGCATATTGCTATTGTTATCCATAGTAATTAGCCAAGGATTGTCATCAATTGACTCTTCTTTATTAGAAAATTCCACTGTTCCTAAGTAAAATTTACACACTGCACACAGTGGAATCCCAGTAACACGTACGGCTACAATTATCGTTGATCTTTGGGAGATGGACTGAAAAGTAAACAAGAAGGCTTCAAACTACAATGAGTCATCGAGACCCTAATATCATTTATGTTTAGCACATGTTTCAATTTCAACGTACCTAACAATAAATCTTATGTATTCAGTCCACTTTAATTGATTATTTTAGTTTTTCTCATACATATTTAGAAATCTACATTTTACTATTAATTAATAATAACCATATTAACTTTAATTTATTTATTAAAAATATAATAAATACTCCTAGGATAACTTTAGAAAAAAAATCAATTAAAATGGACCAGCGAAAGTACTATTTTTTGGGGTCTAATATTCGTATAGGAGTCCAATTAATTTAAACTTAAGCCGTATTTAACTTATTAAAAAGGAAAGCATTCGCTCCCGAAACTTTTTATTTAAAAAAAAAAACTTTAATTAAGAATGAAAAGTCTCATCCCTCCCATAAAAAAACTTTTATTAATGGTAAATCCTTTTTCGCTCTGTTCCTTACTCAAGTCAACATTGTCTGCCAGAAGAAGAAACAAGAAAACCTTGACACAACGTACTAGTATTTGCTTGTGAAACCCTAAGAAGATCCTTAAAATCTTTGTTGCTGTCCTTTTATATAATCCCATGAGTGACACTTGGTAGTCTTTCGACCCTTAAGAATTTTTATGACCGTGGTATGTTATATTATAGTGAGTGTCATGCATTGATATGGTAAAGAACTTTATATTATCAAATTAGATTGACTCATACTCTAGCGGCGGAGCTAGAATTTTATTAAGGAGAGTTAAAATATA